ACTCCATTGCATCAATGCTCATACCGAAACGGACCAGCACCGCGTCAGAGCACTCAAACCACTCAAACCACTCAAAGTCATCTCTCTCGACAAGAACCACCACTGTTGACACAAAGACTTCACCCGCTAGGGCTCTTGACCAGTTCCTCGCTGATGTCATTCCAGTGCTCTATGGCGTTTGCAGCCAAGGTTCCGGCACACTGCTGTGGGGTCGAGCCTCGCTTAGAGTTAGCCTTGTTGGGCCCCACCTTGTCCGAAGATGCCCCACAAGCCTTTGTCTATGGAAATCTTTGGACGTTGGGATAATGAGGAATTCCATGTCGAAAATATTCGAATCAATATTGGTGACAATAGCATGATGGTGTACCCAAGCACAACACCGTTGAATGAATAGACAGGGTCTTTTCCACGGAATCCTGAAAATCGCCAACAACCCACTGACGGCTTCCTACCCTAAATGCATTTACATCAAATCAGTGACTATCTCGAGATTTCCCTTTCCACTTCTTATCTATAAATTCTCGAGACTCGGCACGGCACTTGGTAAATACGATGGCTGCAAAAGTGCGATTCCGACGAGGTGGGGGTGGAGAACAATGGACCCGCCACTACCAAGACGGCGCATCTCCAATAGAGTTTTCCAAGCTTTGCAGGAGTATAATGGCCACAAAATATACCAAGCTTCGCCAGGTCTTTGTAAATTTCCCAGACTTCACCACTTTTATTCTTGGACCACTTTGTTTTTTTCAATTCCGCTCTGGCAGCGAAATGCGAGTACCACCGCCCGATAAATGCCACACAAAAAACCGGTGAAGCACAAAACCACCCCACTTGGCAGCGCTCGCCCGTTGTTCTCTTCGTCCTTGTATAAAAAGATCAACAGATCCTTCGGAAGCCCACGAATTCCTTCACTATTTCTCACGTGACTTTCTGTTCTGTTTCCCCGGATCTTATCAGTACCGAGACCTACTCCGAATTTTTCAGCACCGTCACTTTTTCACCTAATGGCTTACTCAGACCTCAAGGGCATCAAGATCGCCATCGATAGAGGCGGCACCTTCTGTGATGTCATTGCCAAAATCCCCGGCCAGGAAGACTACGTGTTCAAGCTCTTGTCTGTGGACCCACTTAATTACAAGGATGCACCCACTGAGGGAATCAGGAGAGTGCTTGAAAGAGCCCACGGAGTGACCATCTCGCCAACGGAGAAATTGACCATCGATTCAATCGATTCGATCAGAATGGGCACCACCGTGGCCACCAATGCCCTTTTGGAAAGAAAGGGTGCCTCTGTGGCTTTGGTTACCACCAAGGGTTTCAAGGATGTCTTGAAAATTGGCAACCAGACCAGACCGCATATCTTTGACTTGACTGCTCGCAAGCTCGGCCACTTGTACCTGGAAGCGTTGGAGATTGACGAAAGAGTCACCATGGAGCTGTTCACCGAGGGTGGAGGAGACAAGCTAGACTTTAATGTGGAGAATGATCCCGAGCTCAAAACTGCAGTTTCGGGAGACATTATCAGAGTGCTCAAGGAGCCCGATTATGGTGCTGTGGAGACTCAATTGCAGAAGCTTTGGAGCGAGGAGGGTGTCAAGACCTTGGCCTTGTGCTTGTTGCACTCGTACGCCTACCCTGAGCACGAGAGAAAGATTGCTGATATTGCAAAGAAAATCGGCTTCACTGTCTCTGTTTCCCACGAATTGCAGCCCATGATTGGTATGGTGAACAGATGTTCTTCTACGGTGGCAGACGCCTACTTGTCTCCTGTGATCAACCAGTACATCCAGAGTTTTGGTGAAGGCTTCGAAGGTGGTCTTGACTCTTTTGGCAACAAATTGCTCTTCATGCAGAGTAACGGTGGTTTGTGTCCGTGGTACAAGTTCACCGGTCTCAAGGCCATTTTGCTGGGTCCAGCTGGTGGCATGGTGGGTTACGGTGAAACCTGCTACGATAACAAGAAGGATGTTGCAGTTTTGGGTTTCGACGCTGGCGGTACCTCCACCGATGTCTCACGTTACGCTGGTTCCCTTGAGCACATCTACGAAACCGTCGTCAACCAAGTGCAGTTGCAAACTCCCCAATTGGACATTTCCACTGTCGCTGCAGGCGGTGGATCGATGCTTTTTTGGAGAAACGGAATGTTTGTTGTTGGCCCTGAGTCGGCTGGTTCTGACCCTGGCCCTGCTTGCTACCGTAAAGGCGGTCCATTGACTGTCACCGACGCAAACTTGTTTTTGGGCAGATTGTTGCCTGACTACTTCCCCAAGATTTTCGGCAAAAACCAAGACGAGCCTTTGGACGTTGAGATCACCAGAACTAAGTTTTTGGAACTCACTGAACAGATTAATAGCGAAGGTTCTTCGTACACTGCCGAGGAAGTGGCTTCTGGATTCTTGAAGGTGGCTGTTGAGGCCATGGCCAGACCAATCAGAAACTTGACTGAAGCCAAGGGTTTCAATGTTTCTGACCATAATCTTGCTTCTTTCGGCGGTTCTGGTGGCCAATTCTCTGTCGGTTTGGCCAAGAACTTGGGCATCAACCAGGTGGCTATCCACAAGTACTCCTCGTTGCTTTCTGCTTACGGAATTTACGTTGCTGATATTGTCATTGAGCAGCAGTCGCCAGCATCTTTCTCGTACAACAAGACGAATTTGCCTAAGATCGACGAGAAGGTGAAGCAACTTACAGATGCTGCTTACAAGGAATACGAGCTGCAGGGACACACAGGCTTCGACACCAAGGTTGAGGTCTTTTTGAATATGAGATATGTTGGATCTGATACCCACTTGCTTATCTTGAACGACGGTGCCAACGATGCTGATGAGAAATTCATCGACAGACACAGAAAGGAGTTTGGCTTCTCCTTGGACAGAAAGGTAATCGTGGACGACATCCAGGTTTTGTTGATTGTCCAGTCCAAGGACAAGCTGTCGAGCAACCCATACGAAGAATACAGAGCCGTTGCTGACCCTGAAGTTGCAGCTGCCTCTAGTGTGGTTAAGAAGCTCTACTTTGAGGACTCTGGCTGGCAGGATGCTAACGTCTATGAGCTTCACCAATTGAAGCCTGGAATGATCGTGAATGCCCCTGCGGTTATCATTGACAGCACCCAGACCATTATCGTGGAACCTGGCTCGAAGGCTGCTATTTTGAAGGAGCACATTCTTCTTCTCGTTGAGCAGGAGCACAGAGTCGAGGTCTCCAAGGATGAAATCGACCCTATTCAGTTATCTGTTTTCGGGCACAGATTCATGTCCATTGCCGAACAGATGGGCAGAACTTTGCAGCAAACCGCCATTTCCACCAACATCAAGGAGAGATTGGACTTTTCCTGTGCTCTTTTCGATAAAGAGGGTGACTTGGTGGCCAACGCTCCCCACGTTCCCATCCATTTAGGAGCCATGTCTTTTGCTGTCAAGGCTCAAAAGGAAATGTGGGAGGGCAAGCTTGAACAAGGCGATGTGCTTGTCACCAACCACCCATGTGCTGGTGGATCGCATCTTCCAGATATCACTGTGATTACTCCAGTGATCAACGACCAAGGTGAGACGCTTTTCTGGACTGCTTCTCGTGGTCACCACGCCGATATCGGTTCTATCGCTGCTGGATCCATGCCTCCTAACTCGAAGTCTATCTACGACGAGGGCGCTTCCATCATCACACACAAGTTGTGTTCTAAGGGCAAGTTTGACGAGGCTGGTATTACCAGACTTTTGCTTGACGAGCCTGCCAAGCACCCAGGTGGATCGGGAACGAGAACCTTGAACGACAACATTTCTGACTTGAAGGCCCAGGTCTCAGCCAACTTCAAGGGTATCACTTTGCTCAACCGTTTGGTGGATGAGTACACATACCCAGTGATCAGTTTGTACATGGGCGGGATCCAGCAAACTGCTGAGCTTGCCGTCAGAAATCTCCTCAAGACAGCCTACCAAAAATTCGATGGCCACCATTTGCAGGCCAAGGACTACTTGGACGATGGTACTCCTATTGCGGTTGAGATTGCCATTGACCCTGAGACGGGAGATGCCACTTTTGACTTTAGAGAAACCGGTGACGAGATGTACGGCAACTTGAACGCTCCAAAGGCCATTTTGTACTCTGCTGTGCTTTATGTTTTGCGTTCGTTGATCAGCTCCGACATTCCATTGAACAACGGATGTCTCCAGCCAATCAAGTTTTTGACCAGAGCCAGCTCTGTGGTGGATCCTTCGTACGAGGCTGCTGTCGTTGGTGGAAATGTCGAAACCACCCAGAGAATCGTGGATGTCATGTTGAAGGCTTTCGAAGCTGCTGCTGCTTCTCAGGGTACATGTAACAATTTCACCTTTGGTATCAACGACAAGGAGAGAGGAATTTCTTTCGGATACTACGAGACGATCTGTGGTGGTGCTGGTGCTGGAGCCACTTGGGACGGTCAAAGTGCTGTTCAGTGTCACACCACCAATACCAGAATCACCGACACCGAGCTTTTCGAGAAACGGTACCCTGTTATCGTTCACGAGTACAGCATCAGAGAAGGTTCGGGAGGACAGGGTGCCCACAAGGGAGGTGACGGTGTGATCAGAGACATCGAGTTCACCTACGACAACTTGGAGGTTTCCTGTTTGATGGAGCGTCGTTCCTTGGCTCCATTTGGCCTCTTGGGCGGAAAATCCGGTCTCAGAGGTAAGAACATTTTGATCAGAAAACTGCTGAACGGTAGAAGCGTCTATCTTGGCGGCAAGACCACCGTCAAGGTCAAGAAGGGCGACCATGTCATCATCATGACACCAGGAGGAGGCGGATTTGGGCTGCCTGCCAACGGCGTGGCCAAAAAGAGAAAAGTGGATTTTGCAGTGAAAAGCACTACGCCAAGTATCCTTACCGGTTCTGCAGGTATTCGTCAGCAGACTCAGGAAACAAACTAAGTAGTGTGTCTAGTATATAGTGGTAAGTGGACCCCAGATTATCAACTTCGCACCCATAGAGTGCAACGTAACTTTCCAGCACTAACCATGAGCGGGAGGCAGAAGCACCTACCGCTTCTATATAACCCGCTTCTCAATGCTATATTTAACAATCCCCACCACGCCAAGGCGGCAATTCGCTCCACCATCAACGAACTCAGCCTCAGCCATAATGACTACACGATCTTGGTTCCTCCAGGACACATTCTACGCAATTGCACCGAGCCTCTGGGGCTGAAGCTCGAGGAATTGTGCTACGACAGCGATGCGTTTCTCAAATCCCATATCCTCAAGACGCTGGCACCGTTCTCGACCACCATGGCACCTGTGACCAAGATACAGCTGATCATCTACAATACCATGAACGGGAGACAAGTGTTGGTCAAGAACGGCATGGTGTTCACCGGCAAGGGGTTCAAGAGAAGCATAAAAGCGGAGGTCCTCAGCACGGACTATTTCGTCACTTTCTGTGACTACTTCCCCAAGGGTAGCAAGGTGATGCTCTTGTACATCAGCGACTCGCTATTTGGCCATCTGGGCGAGGAATCGAAGGAGCTTCCGCCTGAGCCAGAGCTTAGGGAAAGACCCAGAAGCCACCGCTCTGTCACGTTTGAGGAGCTTCTACGAAACTTCCCGTTGCTTTCCAAAGCCATGTCTGACCAGTTTTATGTGCTCTTCCACCACAATAACCGGAAGTTTGAGAGGCTACGAGCAAGAACAGGGGTATCTTTAGAAGAGGTGAGGCTGTTATTTATGGCCATGGTCGAGGAGGCGTTTCTGATCGTGCAAAAGACTGTCAATGCCGAGTCTGCCGAGGGAGAACGTATCTCCAGGCTTTTGCATACCATCACCGTGCAAAATATGGATGTGGATTTGAATAATCTAGTTCACGAGTATGTCGAGCTCAACGTCTACGACAAGGTGTGGGTCCAGCTTGTGAACCAGTTCGAGAAGACCCAGGAAGAAGAAGATCCCTTGATGGTCCTTTCCTCAGCGGTCTACAACGATCTCTCCTGCCTTTCACTCAATCAACTTGATCTTCCCGTGGAAGAACCATGGTATTTGAATGTCCTCCATGCCCGAGTTGCTTCAGCCATAGCACAGTTCTCCAAGCTCAATGATCCGAGTGTGACGAACAGACGACAAAAGATTGATCTCATCGGAAACACAGTGGATATCTTGACTGAGGGCAAGGACGACTCAAATGCCAATCTAGTGGTGGACGCTGATACCCTTATAGGCCTCCTTATCATGGTGATAGTTCACCTGAAGGTTCCCAACTTGGAGGCTCATATCTACTACATTCGTCATTTCGGTATCGACTCACTTCAAAGTGGCAATGCATCTTCGGAAAAGCACAGTGTTGGCTACCTCAATTACATTCTCAGCAACATCGATGCTGTGATCTACCATTTATCGGGTAAAGGCTCTGAAGGTATCCCCTACGACCATTTCCAGGAAATGTCCCAAGCATCGTCGCAAAACTATGACCTCTGGTATGCGATTCAAAAAGAAGACCTTACTGGTTTACAACGCTTGCTTGATGATGTCGACGAACAATATTCCGGCAAGCAGCTTCCCAAAGACCATTTCCTCAAAAGTAGGAACATTCACGGCGAGAGCTGTTTCTGCTTTGCAATCCGAAGCAAGAATTTTGAAGTATTCAAGACTTTGATCGACAGAACCTTGGAGTGGTTTCTGGTGGAAGATCTCATTTTCGATAAGAACACAACTACCGATCAGACTTTGATGATGGTTGCCCTTGTCGAGGAGAATAGCGACGTCTCAAAGTATTTGCTATCTGTCATTCTTGCTGACACAACTGCAGAGGAACAGTGCCTATACTACAATCTCAAAGATAAAAGCGGAAGGACGTTGGGACATTATTTGGGCTACGATGTCACCATACTAGAGCAGGTCGGCCCACATGTGGACTGGTATACAAAAGACAACAATTCACACACACCACTCTTCAGTTTGTGCCGCCATTACGATCATCATGACTACAAAACACTAGTACAAAAAGCATTTGCATGTGTGTTCAAAAAATACCCAAAACCGTTGGCTCTTGACGAGCAGACTGATAAGTACGGTAACACGTTTTTGCATGTCCTTGCTCGAGGAATCACCGAAACAGGCATTCTCGAGACGGACAAGGCGTTGGTTGATGTCAACCATCTCAATGAAAAGCTTCTTTCACCGCTGGCGGTATACATTCGATACAGCAGAACAGAAAATCTTGCTTTGCTCATGAAGAACGATCTTTTCAACTTCTTCCAGGAAGACCAACGCAACTTTTACAATTTATTGGATTACTACAGCTTTTCGGCTGCGAAGGCTAGTAATGGTTCCAATAAGGCATTTGGTGAGGTGGAGCAGATTGTCATCGACAAGTATTTCGAAGTCAATTATTCAAAGCACAACGATATCCAACTTGGAGTTCTCAATGCCCGTTACGACGGATCAGCCAACGATTGGATTATCAACACTGTGATGGTGAAACCGGGAACCGAGAAACCGATCTCCACACAATATATCGCGATTGATAAGCTTCGCCAATTCACCAAACTTCAGAAAATGGCATTTCCACAAGGGTTCGGCTTAGATGTCAACACTTTTTGGATAAACCATCCAGCGAACAAGCTGACAATTCCATCATGTTCAAAGTACCGCTCAAACAGATTATTAGAGCTTCTTACCATGTACTTCCAGGCAATGAATTTCCACTCGGATACATCAAAGACTAAGTTTCGGGGCAATTTTGCAATGTGCTGTGCCGATAGCAAGACCCTGACTTTAGAAATGATGAAGGACATTAACAAGGCACAAGAGAACGCCAAGGTGAGAAACGGAGAAGTCAAGTTCTCCTCGCAGAAGATCCAGGAAATTGAAATCTTCCTCGACTACTCCCTGAGTGACTTGTTAGGATTTCATTTGGAAATGAGCAAGCTCAACCAGATCCTTACAGTGACATCGATGAAGCAAAGTGATCTAAGAAATGTCTCTGACATTTTGTTGCGGCAAATCAAATTGGGAAGTACAAAGCATCTTGATGTAAGAGAATTCAGGGCTCTTGATGCATCTTACCAGAAGCTACAATCGTATGCAAGCTGGCTTGAACTCTCAGTTAATGAACTTCTACAGAACTGCCGGAAATTGAAGGAGAAGCTCCAGCTATGGAAGGAAATCTATCATGGTATCAAGGAGCTTAACAATGAACTCCATCGCTTTGAGGACCAGGTCAAGGTCGCCCAGAATGGTGTTAGCGAAGAAGCGGAGAGTGAGAGTGCTACCCGGACCGTTTCCAGAAGGAGCACTACATCGTTAGATTCCGTTCCCTCGGAAACTCAAGAAGCTGGATCTTTCTTCAATTTCGGAATCATCGATAGCAAGAAATCAAAATACAAAAAGCTACTCATGACGAAGTCTGAGGAGGTGAAAAAAGTGATGAATCTCAATGCTGAGATCAAGATCGACCACGAGTTAATTGCAGCCGAGATCTCACAGTTTTTAAGTTTTCGCTCCGGTTTCTTCAGCCTCGGCATTAAACAATTCTGCAAGGCCCACTTGCTCCTGTTACGCAGCAGAAACCACGAGCTTGAAACACTCTTATGGAGTATCAGGCGGCAATAAGCCCTTTTGCACCCAATCTTCAAAGCGGACCCAGGAACATTCTGGAACACCCGTGCACCACACGCTGCAATGTTGGGGCAAGGTGCATAAAATACTAGACACGACAGATCTAATCATTAACACTAGCATGTCTGTTTCTCACAAGGATTTGGCGTTGGCCATTATACAATTTTTGGAATCAAGTGTTTCCAACAAGACTGTCTCCGAGGAGTACGCTGAGTCCATGGATGTGGCCATCGACTGTATCGCCGATGCCTTCGAGGTTGACAAGGCTGAAGCCTCTCTGGTTGCCTCCAAGTTCGGTGGATTGTCTTTGATCGATGCTGTAAACAACAAATCAGCTGGTTCTGCTTCCGTGAAGGAGGAGACCATCGAGGTTGACGCCGAAACCAAGGCTAAGGCTGATGCTGCTAAGGCTGAAGGTAACAAGGCCATGGCTTCCAAGGACTTCGACACCGCCATTGCCAAGTACACCGAGGCTATTGCTTTGGACCCTACCAACGTGGTGTACTTGTCCAACAGAGCTGCTGCCTACTCGTCGGTTTCTCAACACGACAATGCTGTCAAGGACGCCGAGGCCGCCGTCAAGTTGAACCCTGAGTTCTCCAAGGCCTACTCTAGATTGGGTTTGGCGCAGTACGCTTTGGGTAACGCCAAGGCCTCGATGGAAGCTTACAAGAAGGGTTTGGACGTCGAGGGTAGCACTCCTAGTGATGCCATGAAGAGAGGCTACGAGACGGCTAAGAAGAGAGTGGAGGCTGACTTGGGGAGCTCGATTGCCACCAGTGAGCCTGAGAACAGCGAAAGAAGCGAACCTTCTGGCTCTGGTAGTGGCGCCGGCGCTGGTGCCGGCGGAATGCCCGACTTCTCGTCGATGTTCGGCGGTGGAGGCGGTATGCCCAACTTGTCTGAAATGATGAACAACCCTCAGGTGATGGAGGCTGCTCAGAACTTGATGTCCAACCCTAATGCTCTCGAAGGCTTGATGAGCAACCCTGCCGTGCGCCTGATGGCCCAAAACATGGGTCTTGGAGGCGAGAACGGTGGAGGAATGCCTAACTTGTCCGAGATGATGAACAACCCCATGTTGCAGAACATGGCCCGTAACTTTATGGGTGGCCAGGGTGGCCAGGGCGGCAACCAAGGCAGTAACCAGGGCCTGGGCAGCAGCGAGTAAGCTGATACTAATAATTCAATCTCATACATGAACCATACATAGCGATACATAGTCCTGATAAACGCGTACCCTGTGACACCTACGTGCACTCCTTCTATTTACTCCATCGGTTTCTCCTACAACACATTCTTACCAACGCTGATCCAGCCCTTTTTTTTCCCAAAGAGCCTTAAATGACTACTGCTCGACAATCCTCCATTACGGTGGCGGTTCGAGTACGGCCGTTTACTCCTGCGGAGGCCAACAAACTCATACAAATACCAGGCAAGCCGCTTTTCATTGGAGATGGAGCACTTTCTGGAGCTCTGGAGAGTACAAATGCTGAAGAAACAGCAAAAGCCAACTTGATTCCACGTGGTATCAGGAAAATTGTTGATGTTGTCGACGACAAGATGCTCATTTTTGATCCTCCAGCAACAAACCCACTCACATCCATGCAACGAAATGCTTTTCCCAACGGCAACATGAGAGCACGAATAAGGGACTACCGGTTTGTTTTCGATAGTCTCTTTGATGAGAACTCACTGCAAGAGCAGATTTACGAGAGCACCACCAAACCTCTCTTGGACAGCATATTGGATGGCTACAACAGCACTGTTTTCGCTTATGGTGCTACAGGCTGTGGCAAGACTCACACTATCTCAGGATCTCCGTCGAATCCTGGCGTGATTTTCCTCACGATGAAGGAGTTGTACGAAAGAATCGACTCATTGGCCGATACGAGGGTCTTTGACGTAAGCATTTCATTTTTGGAGATCTACAACGAGACCATCAGAGACCTACTAGAGCCTGAAACCCCTTCAAAGAAACTTATTCTACGAGAAGACTGCAAAAAGCGCATTACAGTGTCAAACCTCCTGTCAAGACTGCCTGCCTCGGTGGATGAGGTCATGGATTTGATTGTTTTGGGCAACGAAAACAGAACACTGTCGCCTACAGAGGCCAATGCTGCTTCGCTGCGTTCACACGCGGTGCTTCAAATCAACGTCACTTCTCGGAGTCGTACAGCTTCCCTCGATCAGGAACACACGTTTGCTACCCTCTCGATTATTGATTTGGCTGGAAGTGAGCGGGCCGCTGCTACCAAAAACAGGGGAGCCCGTCTCAACGAGGGTGCCAATATTAACAAGTCGCTTTTGGCTTTGGGTAACTGTATCAACGCCTTGTGTGATCCACGTCGCAAAAACCATGTTCCATATCGTGATCTGAAGCTTACCAGACTATTGAAGTTCTCTCTAGGAGGTAACTGCAAGACTGTCATGATTGTTTGCGTATCACCTCTGTCCCAGCATTACGATGAGACTCTCAACACGCTCAAATATGCCAATCGTGCTAAGGAGATCAAAACAAAACTCATACGAAACCGTCAAAACTTGGACCGACACGTTGGCTCTTACCTCAAGATGATCACGGAACAGAAACAAGAGATCGAGGAACTTAGGGAAAGAGAATCGAAGGTTATTGAAAAGACAATAGCCAAGCACAGCAAAGTGGTCGACAATTGCATTTTTGAAGTCCTCAAAAGTATTGAGACACTCAAAACAAATATAAACAAACAGCATCAGGAGAAGTGGCGCAAGTGTTTTTCGCTTGCAAAACGCAAACTCCTTCTATTGCATCAGGAAGAGCTCCAAATCATGATACAGACCTTCAAAAAATTACGCATATCCGACAGAAGATACACCCCATTTCTTGAAAAGTCGAAGCATCTCCAAATACAAGCAGAACAGCTTCTACAAAAGATCGACGAGCAGATTATCAACCTAGAAAAGATCTATGATCTGCCATCTGAGTTGGACAACATCTACTCAAAGACGTATGAGTTTAATCTCAAGAAGTTTCAAGAAATGGAAGGTTGGTCGTCGCAACTCTCGGTTTTGTACGAAGGTATGGTGGTTACCGCCAAGGAGCATCTACAAAAAGATTTGTTAGTCAACTCATCTATATTATTCGACTATCTAGTGGGCGAATTAAGTGACTTCAACTTCTCGGCACACGGTATATGTGAACTTGTGGGAACATATCTTGTCCACTGTGAGGAGTCAACTATGGATCAAATGGTTGCGGCCATTACCAACATCACCAACATCATTGAAGCATACAACAACTCAGATTATGATATGGCAATTGAGAAAGCTACCTCGAGATTTATTCAGATGAAGGTGCAGAGGGAAGAACACGCTGAAGCGGTGCGTTCAATGAACGGGGCGCCAAATTTGCAGCCAAGAGATAAGAGAACGTCAACTTCGCCCTTACGTCTGTCACCTCCGAGAGCACGTAAGAGACCATCCAAAAACTATAACGATGGAGAAGCTGATATAAGTATGGACGATTCTTTTGTTAATCGGAGCGCAATGGAGGAAGACTCCTCTCCACCAGCTAGGAGTCTAAATGAGCATTCTGTTCTTGATGAGATAGACTTCAATCCTACAAACGAGTCACCAACAGCTCCAAAGACACAGAATATCCGGTCTCTCAACAGCGACGATGTCTCACTTCGAGCGCCATTGCTCAACAAGGAAGCAAGTACTAAAGTCGTTAGAAAAGAGATGATTCCTTTGACGAGCGAAGATCTTCTGAGGGACGCAAACGTTCACTAGCCGCCAGTCGCATAATCTACATCTATTGCATATTTCGTCATGCCTTGCATTGCAAGGACAATTCATTTATTTTATACTGTCGTAACACATAGTGAACTTAGTAGCCGCTTCTGCCAGAGGAGCCGTAAGAGTCGTTACCGCCTCTTCCAGAGCCAGAGCCAGAACCAGAACCATAGGAGTCGTTGCCGCCTCTACCAAAACCGGAGCCAGAACCGTAAGAGTCATTGCCTCTGCCGGAGCCAGAAGAAGAACCGTAAGAGTCGTTATCACCTCTACCGGAACCAGAACCAGAACCAGAACCGTATGAGTCGTTGCCGCCTCTACCAGATCCAGTGCTAGAGCCGTAGCTGCCAGAACCAGAACCGGAACCGGAACCGGAACCAGAGGAACCGTAAGAGTCGTTACCACCTCTGCCGGAAGAACCGTAGTTACCAGAAGAGCTCAGGTTACCACCGTGGCTGGAAGAGCCGTGGTTACCAGAGGAACCGTGGCTAGAGGAGCCATAGCTGCCAGAGCCGGAACCAGAACCAGAGCCAGAGGAGCCGTAGTTGCCAGAACCAGAACCAGAACTGGAACCGTAGTTACCAGAACCAGAACCAGAGCTAGAGCCATAGTTACCGGAACCGGAGCCGGAACCAGAGCCAGATCCGTAGTTGCCAGAACCAGAGCCCGATCCCGAGCCGTAGTTACCAGAACCGGAACCGGAACCAGAGCCGTAGTTGCCAGAACCAGAGCCGGAGCCACGCTCATTGTCGTCATTGCCGAGAGCACCCTTGATCTTGTCACCGATCTTGCCGAGAGTAGACTGGTCTCTGTCGTTGTTGCCGTAGTTGCTGCTGCTGTTGTTGTTGTTACCTCCGAAAGACATAATGAAAATTGGTTGTGGTAGCCAGAAATGTGGCAAACAGAGGCCAATTTATACCTCCTTCGGCTACCGGCCAGGCAATGTGGCTGCAACAACCTGTGTGTAATGATATGCGGAGAAGAAATGCCAGGGGACCATTCTGCAGGAGACAGTCTCGTTGCACCCCCACCGCCGAAAAGCTGTTGCTCTTTCATGCGCTCAAACGCAATGATGCATTGGTCCGAGTGCACAAGGTGTTCAAGGCAATCAGGTAATTGGCTGATACGCGGCAATGTGGCTGAGGTGTAAGTCTCGAAACCACCGTGACTGGCTTGCTGCGCCCAGACCAGATCCTATTCAGGAGAAGCGGACTCGGGAGTCTGTGGCTCGGGAGATCGACGCATCATGATGGACCTCGTGGTTGCTATCACAAAAAGCAATGCCATGTTGGGGACACGGCGAGAACCCACACTTTTGGCTACCGTTCCTGCGGGATTCTGCGCCCCTGAGCTATTGTGCGGAACAATAGCAGTTTGCCGTCGAAGAAAAGTGTGGAAAATATCACAATCGAGCCATTGGGCAAAACACGGGACCAAGTGCAGCTGTTGGCAAACAATCGGATCAGTGCTTCGAATGGCGGAGAATGCAGGGAGTCTGACATGTGTAAGTCTCAGTCGTGAACCGGACAGAACGAGTCGAGCGCGAAATGTCAAAATTAGCTTCGTCTGTCACTTTCGCAAACCTTACCGAAATTCCTCAATTGTCCATTTGGAGAACATTCCAGGCAATCACCCTTCCGCTTTGGCACAATTGATGAGAGCCAGATTTATGAAAAGGCTTTACACAATGACACAGTCTTTTTCCTGAGGGGCAGCGTTCAGGGGGCTTCTCTTCTTATTCTTCTTAGCCAACTTAGCCGCCCGAGCAGCCTCGTCTTTGTTTGTGATTCTCGCGAGCGCCTTGATCTCGCCGTTTTCGGCGGCCTTAAAGTACCACAGTTGGGCTTCCTTGAGGTTCTTCTCGCAGCCAATGCCTTTATCGTAAAAGTTTGCTAGAGCAAACTGCGCCTTAGCAAGTCCTGCTGTAGCGGCACGTTTGGCCCACTCAAATGCCTCGTCTTCGTCCTTTGGAAGGTATGGCTCCAGGCCCACCAAGTACCACGCACAGATGGAAAGCATGGACTGTGGGTGACCGGCAACCGCGGCGTTAGTGTAGTAATTGATGGATAATTGGGCATCGGCGTCGACGATTTCGCCGATTTCGTAATGGTGGCCCAAAATGGCAGCCGCCTCAACGTGGCCTAGGGCAGCGGCATCCGAGAAGAGCTTGAGCGCGTACATCTTGTCGGCAATGACGATATCGATGAACCCCTCGTAGTAAATTTTGCCGAGTTCGTAAGGCGCCGCAGCCGTCAATTCTGTAGCAACGTTTGAGGCTCTTTCCAACCATTTGATACCGATTTTCTTGGTGGCAACGTCTTGAGAGACACCCATGCGTCCGTAGAAACAGTAGACACCGAGTTTATACATGGCAGCAGGGTGGTTCTTCGAGGCAGCCATTTTCAAAAAGTCCATGCCTTTTCTGGAATCGTGGCCCGTGCCCAAGCCGTCTTCGTAGCAATGAGCGGTTCTGAAAGCTGATTCTGTGTGGCCGTGCTTGGCAGCGGCAAGGAAAAGGCTGAAGGCCTCTTTGTTATCGACCTTACCGAATGCACCGGAGCTGTAGGCATCTCCGAGGAGGTACTGAGCATCAACGTAACCCTTGTCGGCGAGTCTCTTCAAGTAGTGATGGGCCTCCTTGAGCAAAGACTTCTTCAATTCAAGCGAAGAAGCGTCAGTCAAGTCGAACGAGTTGGACAGCTTCAGTTTGCGGTGGCCCTTCTTCACGTCTGCGTCTATGGATAAAGAGGACCCGGTCTTCTTCTTTGGTGTGCTTCCTCCAGAGCTATCTGGCGAGTTGGCATCCACCATTAATGCCGTCTGCAACATGTACTGAGCGTACTGGAACAAGACCGCCGGGTCGGTCGACTTCTTAGCGTTCTTACGGTACATCTCCATGGTCTTGATACGCGGCATCAAACTAGCCAGGTTTTCTCCAAGGCAGTCGTTTACCAAATTATGGGAGTCCTGGTCCTGGAAGAAGGACAGCGACAGCGACAAGGACCGAGCATGGCTGAAACGAGCCAACTGGCCAGGCATGCTGCTGGCCACACTGAAGTTGTGTTCCGGCCTAAGGTACAAATCCTGTGAGTGGTTATTGTTCAAGTTGAGATTAGTCACGGAGGAGTCAGCGGAGGCCGGAACCAGGGGAGGAGAAATGGCTGAATAGCGGTTTTGCAGCAGTGAAGGTTCGTCCACGGGGTATGGGGCATCCAGAGCAACTCTAGCTTGAGGAGGAGCCTCTGTGGCGTTGAAACGAGGGCTCAGGAGCGATGTGGTGGCAAGACGGTTCAGCAAAGACGTGGTTTCGTCCAAACCAGGGTATTTCTGAGGATATGTCATGGAAGCTAGCCCGGAGCCGGGTCCGGAGCCGAGCCCGGACATGGAGGGCTGTGGGTAGCCAGCTAGGGAGCTGTACTGATGCGAGTTGGAGCTTTTAAAGCTAAGGTCCAGGGTGGAGTCTGTGGCGTTGGCGATGTCTGAAAGAGGGTATGGAGTGGGATCAGCCATGGGGGAGCCGTTTTGGCCCGAGGCTTTTTGTCTATATGGATGGGACATTTCAGCTTTTTCCTGGTTATGGGAAGTAGGTGCTGTTGGGTTGGAAGATTATGCTGTGAAGTGGATTGTGGATGTTGGTGGATCACGGTGAGAAGCGAGAAGAAAAGGTACGAAAAAGCTGCGGCGAGGGCTAATCCAGGAAAACAAACCACGAGGAGCCTAAACCAGCGAGGAAATTAAAAATAAGGCGGCGGCAGTATTTTGATGACAAAAAGCGTGGTGGGTGGGAAACACTAAAAATTTAAAAAATAAAAGATAGAGTTTGTTACACAGGCGCTGGCCTGGCTTGACACACCACGGAATGGGTGCAAACATCCGGGTGGGGTGGATGCCTCTGGTTTCTGGGTGCAACTCTGGAGAATTTTCTTAGGTGTCTTATCGCTGGTAATCATGCCTAATTTTAGCCTGCTTTCGATTGTGCTTCTTGGAATTGTGCTACTTTTAATTGTGCTACTTTTGTATTGTTCGTTTTTCTCGGCTCCCAGCCAGCATGGTCCAGCATGGTCCAGCATCGGTGAGGATTTGGGTTGCGGAGGGGTGAAAAAAGAATCTGAAACAGGCGGTTTCGTCGAAGGATGAGACGATGCAAATCCCGGATTTGCAAAGCCTGATTTGGCCTTTTAGAGTTTGGTTTACTGATCCGGGAAAGGTGACTTCAGCAATCCGCGCCGGCAAATGAAGGGTGGTATTTTAGGGTGAGGTTTGTTTGTTTGGCACTAGGGCTGCGTCTCCGGAGGAAACCGTGCCGAATTATGGAAATGGAGTTTTTGCAGTCGACTTAGTCAAGATTTGGTGTCGATACTGAATCAGAGTGTTCCAGCTCCGTTTCACTGAAAAATGGAAATCGTCAAATCTCCCCCTCGTATCTATTGCTGAATCCACCAGGGCCGTTTTCACCGCTGGCAGATTCCATATTTGGCTGTAGCTGTCAAAGCCAGGGTCCAGCGCTGCGGTATTTTCTCACTGTTTGGGCTAAATATGCTCGCTATTTTAGGAACACCTGCCAGGGACGAGGCAGGTACCGTAATTAGTCAGGGGCACCTGAAACGTACGAGAATAGTCTGAGTGTTGGTTTTGTGAGATGGAGAATTGTGGAATGGCGGGGTGGACTTGTCGATTCGGGAACTAGGCGGTGGATTTGCAATGGCTGCAAATCTGCAGTTGGCTGTCACCAGATGCGAGTGTCTGCTGGAGATGGGAACTAGATTCGATAAATCAATGTTGACGGGTTGAATTCGAGAAATGTAATCGAATTTCGGATATCTTCAGCTACGGTCTTTGCAGTAAAGGCTGAACGTGGCCACCAACTACGGTACAAGAACCACATTGGTCTATTCCCACTTCATGAAAATTTTCATCCTTCAAAACGCAGACGAGCTTTTGACTTTCTAAGCCACAAGGGGCGAAGACCTGGTTGCCAACAAAAGCTTGCTGTGGTGATTCACTGGTCAATTCTTTATTGTTCGCTGATCTTAATTAAATCCGATCCATCGACGAAGATCATATCTTAACGTCACAGTACATATACAAGTTGCTCGACACGCTGATGGAAAGGTAAACATGACTTGACACGGTCAGTGGCTTTGCTATAACTGTTAGAGTAAGTTTGGAACCAAGCCTCGATGAGACGGCAACTCCTCTATCGGTCGAGTTGCTTACTATTCATCTCTACACTTTGCTCATTTCGTACTTTATTATTAGATCACCGGCCAGGATTCTAAAGTATTGCAAGCCTGGTTCTTGCACATGCAGCGGCGGCTCTCGCAGTTGCAAATCTAAAACGGATAGCATGGGGTGAGCCAATAGACGTAACTTGCACTCATCCTCCAGCTCAAGGAAAAGACGCCTTATACACCAGCTACAGCTGACTCAGTAGTAGATAAAAGCCATCACAACAGCAACCAAAAGCACACCTCCAACCACGAAACCACCGGAGGATCTCTTCTCCTTGTGGTCTGCCTGGATCCTCGCTCTATCCTCTGGATCTAACGTCGACAAGTCAAGCTCGCCTCTTTTTATCTGTGCCTTGGTCTGCTCAAGCTCCTTCTGCGCCTGTTCGGCCTCAGCGATGGCGATCTTGTTCAGATCAACCAAGTCGGGAAAGATAGCTCTGAACCGGGTGTTATCGCTATTATTCCACTTCTTGCTGTCTCTAGCCAAACGACGCTTCACACTCTCGCTCGTGTTGATCAGCCCCGTGGTGCTGTCCTCTCCGGTCATAAAACTCAACAACCCCGTCAAAATCGTAGAAACACTCCATGCTGGGTTCCATGTGTCTGGGTGGTAGTCACTCATACTAAGACAGAGACGGGTGTTGCAGGCAAATCTGCCGTTGGGAGTTACCATCGAGATTGCTGGAGGAGCAAAAGGGTATTCCGATGGAAACCGAAGAAGACCGTGATACTGGCCGTTCTCATATGGGGTAGAAGGAGGACCGGTGATGATAAAGTGCCACTCCAAGATATTTTCATCGTTTGGCTTGGCCTCGATGAATGGCGGAGGGTTCGCCTGGATGGTTTTGTACTCTTTATTGAGTCTCTTTTGCGCCTGGCGAGAGACCATAAGAAAAGGGTTGTTGAAGAGTGGAGTTGGTAACAGCGATTTGGGGTTAGGGGTCACGTGTAGGAGTTGACCCAAAAAAGCCGACAAGGTGGTTGGCGATAAGAGGGGGGCGGTGGGGTTGGAGATTATTTGTGAAGCTGGTGGTGTTTCTTATTTTTCTTTTCCGGTTATGTTTTATTCTGCTTCTAGTTCTGTTGGAGCCCAGTGTGGCGGTTTCTAACTGGCTGCGAAACTGATACCGAGATCTGCAAATCGGTGACTATGTGAGGAAGACAAATAGATAACAAAGTGAACAGAAAAAAAAGGAAAATGGGAAAGTTTTGACTATCAAATAAAACAGAAGGCCTGGCACAGACAGTACCAGAATTTGTCTTTTTTGCTATTAGCTTCACTTTACTGAAGCTGCCCTTAGTGCTCACACAAGAAGAAAAGCCTAGTGTAAGCGTTTTCGTAATCCTCGTTGTCTTCAATAATCACCTTTCTCTCTGCCATCAACTCATCTCTGTACTCCTTAGCCTCCTTCTCGGTCATGGTGGCTAACTCTTTTGCATCAACACCAGGGAAGAACTTCTCCATAAGCACTTTATCATTCACCCATTTTTCATTTTGGAACGGTACAACATCGGTAGCCTTCACCTCGGTGTTGTATGGGTCCACCAAAAAGAAACACAAGATCTTTCTGTAGCCAGGCTTCGTAGCATCCTTCAACTTGAAGGCATCTACGTGATGCTGGAAACTGTTAGTGAACACGGTGATTCTTCCCTTCTGAGCCACCACGTTACCAATCATCCTGGTCATATTGTCCTCATTCTTGATACCGTAAAAGTCTTCGCAGTAGCATTCGTCACCTTGGTCATAATGAGGATCCTCAAAAGCGTACTTGAAGGATAATCTAGACTCCTCAATGTTGTCCATATCATAGTAATAGAGCACTGTAGCCACAATGTCCTCATTGATGGTTCCCTCAACATGCCAGGAACCACCTTTGTACTCGGGCTTTTCTGGCGTGAGCTCTATGTTCGCCAACTTTACAATAACCTTGAGGTTCTCGAGGTCCCGAAGCTCAAAGGGCTTGGTCTCCGGCTCCTTATCGTACTTAGGCTTGAACTCACGGTAGTAAGCACGTTTACCCTTTTCCCACGCTTCAAACTCCTCCTCATCGGCACCTTCATCTATGAGATCCTCAAGCTTTTCCTCATATTTGTCATATCCTTCCGTGTAGTATTCGCCAAAGTAAGCGGTAGGGATACGCACGTACTCGTCGGATTGGTATCTTGCGAGGGACATGTTGATCGCAGGAACTGCCAGATTGAAGATTTTGGCAATGGAGCCATAGAGCTCGGCGTTTTTCAATGGATGAAGGTTGTTGATGTATGAACTAAACGTGAACTGCTTCTCATCATCCAACTTCATGAGAGCCGGAAGCCATTGAAACTTCTGGGAAACTCCATAGTCAGCAACACCCTTTTTCACTGCCTTGATGGCTTCCTCGAATTGGGCAGTCTCGAGCTTTCCATTGTTGAGGATCTTCGTTCTGTTGTACACCAAATGGTAGAGGGAAGGATGTACCAAGTCGACCACCAAGTCGTCAGGACCAGGGTGGTAGTCTTTTTCGGTGATGGAGGATTCAAATTTGCTAGCAAGGTCCACAAACTCCTTTTCGTCTTTCTCCAACACAGCACCATCTGAATACAAGATCTTGTCATCTGGGCCAAATTGGAAACCGCGGCCGACCTCAGCCTGCAAAATTTTCATACCACTTCAATTCCTCGGCAGCGTATTCAAAGACCTCTTCTGGGTGTTTCGTTTTCGGATTCAGAGCTAAAAACTCCAGCTTCCATTTCGCCAATATGGTCGGGTCCTTATATTTCCGCTCCCATTCCGGTTTCTGCCGGATAGCATAGGAAAGCTCCACAATGAGCCATTCGTCAAGGTATCGTGCCGAGTTTCCAAGCAGAGAAAAAGCAATCCACCAGGGATGCTTCAATACGGAGGCAGACATGGATGTGAAATATGGGAATCGGCACCTTTTATGCCGTGGCTGCAGGGAGTGCAGAAATGCAGATTTACGAGGTGAGCCGCTTCCAACTGGCCCTCGTAAATAGAGCACCCTAAATCATCCAGATAATATTATATTGGGTTATTTGAACCTGGATGTGTTTTGTTTGATCATTTCATCAAAGTTTACGCTTTTTGTGCAATTCCAAGCACAACACTCGAGGTGACGCGGAAGAGTCCGTCCTTCTGTGGTGCCTTGTGTATCTCTCGTTTCACCTCGGTCTTGCAGTGACTGTGGATGAACTGTTCATCAAGCCAAAGATTCGCTCTGAATTCTCTAGCACTGCTAACATTGACACATCCTTTCTGCAAACAGGCGGTCATTTCGTCCAAGGTCAAGCCGTGACGAGCCATGCCTCGTTCTTGTAGCTCCTGGGCCATCTCCTCGTTTTCCAAATCCTCATTGTAGAAATCGTAGATCAAGATCCATCCGCCCGGACGGACCATTTTTTTGATTTCCTCGGCCACGGCTTCGTAGGCGTGGATGTGGTGGAACGAGAGAGTGCAAATGAGCACATCAGCAAATCCTTCCAAAGAGCCCATCTCGAAATTGTCCATAATATCGGCACATATAGACTTGATCTTGAGTTCTGGAAAGTTCTGGCGCAATGTAGCGGCTTTTGTGTCGAAACTCTCGAGCATCAGCTCGTTGATGTCTATTCCAACAAACTCACCTTTTGGCATGAAAGGAACCAATCGATCTGCAACAAGACCCGTGCCACAGGCAAAGTCAATCACTTTCGAGTCAGGTTTGAGCAAATTGCCTAGGATCTGCTTCTGTTGCTGAAAGTCGCTGACAACCTGATCCACATCGATTGGCTCCTCTGTATCAGGGAATGGTTTTCTTTTCGCTGAAACGTCGAAATTGACAATCTCCAGTGCAAACACTTGCGACATCACCCTCATGGCGGGGATGTTGTCATAGCTGTTGTCAAAATGCTTCTTGTTGGCTTCCACAGACAGTTGATGGCTCATGTTGATAGTGCGGAATCTGACGGAACGGTGAGAAGTTTCACTATTTATACCAAACTGCCCCACTTTGTGAGATTTGGGTGAAATTAGTGAAAGTGATATTTAATTGGTTTGAAGATAAGGATTCTCGAATATCTTGCTTAAAGGCGGGGTTGAACAGACTGATGTGGGGTAGGTGGTGGAACCTCGAGATCTGACGATCTGTGATACGATTCGATTGTATGCTCGTCTATAATAAATCTGGAGTAATAAGGTAGAATGATCAAATAGCTTTATAATAACTTATACGAGTCTGCCTCATTTAGGCCACGAAGGACAACCCTTGGAATGTCTGTTGATGGTCCGATATCTCATTCGTACCGAAGGTTCACTCTTTCCACAGATTAACTACAACCCCATAACAAGATCTAGATTAGTCGTATTGAAAGTCAGATTAAGAAGTAAAAAGGCAAGAATATGGATGGTGGAACTTATTTGTATGCATAGATTGGACGGAACCAGCATGGAGCACAGTACCAGCGGCAGCGCCAGTCCAGGGCGCAGCCAGAAAGTGATGAGCGCGTATTACTTGGGTCCTTTTTAATGGCAGCACAACTTGGACCAGAAGCCCTTGCTTTCCTCCTCAGACACGTGCTGCTGTTGCTCGTACTGGTAGCCATTTTGGCCGTTGGCGTAGTTGGGATGCGAGTTTTTGAAGTTGCCCTGACCGTTCACCACGTCGGAGCCTTGCATGTTGACTGCCATGTTCAGGCGGGCTGGCGTCTCCTGCTTGATGGGTGGTAATGGTCTGTTGATGAGGTGCTGCAACTTTTGTTGATGGGTCTGAGCAGCCGACATCTGTTGCAGCTGGCCTTGGACGCCGTTCAAGTTGTTGTTGGCAGCAGAGGCGGGGATCTGGCCAGCCGTAGTCTGGCCGTGGTGAGCTCTGTTTCTACGCTGGTCACGGTGGCGTCTATCCCTCTCGTTAGGTGGGTTGGGGTGGCCGTATCCGTGCAAGTTTGGCTTTTTGTTGATGGCAGCGTCCCAGCCCTTGCCGCCATTGAGGTTCATCCAGTCGAAGTTGCCGTCGCAGTGGGTTCCCAAGTCGTCCAACACAGAGAGCAACAACATTCTGTATTCCTCGTAGGCTGGATCAGCCTCGAAGGGCAAGGAACGCACGGCATCCAAGTATTCGGCAAACTGGCGAGGCAAGCCGTCGCACAAGAGCGTAGCAGACGTAGTTCTTTTCTTGTCGCCAATCTTCTCGTACTTCTGTTTGTTGGTAGGGGCCTTCAAACCCTGCCAAGGCAACTGGCCACGCAAGAAGTAGAAGAACACATGACCGAGAGCCTCCAAATCGTCTCTTCTCAGCTGCTCGCGGCCCAAATGTGTGTTGATGGACATGTAACGGGCGGTACCACTCAAGGACTTCTTTTCTCTGTAGGGGATGTGCAGCTTCGTTCTTGGGTCTCTGTACTGCTTGGCCATGCCAAAATCAATGAGGTGGACCTTGTTTTCGTCGGGAAAGCCCTGGCGCCCGATCAAGAAGTTGTCGGGCTTGATGTCCCTGTAGATGAGGTCGTGACGGTGCACCTCCTCGATCAAGTCTATCATCTGGATGGCCACTTGCACCACTGTTTTGACGCTGAAGCGGCGGCCACACCAGTCAAACAAGTCCTCCAACGAAGGACCCAATAGGTCAATGACCAAAATCAGGTGCAAGCCCTCCTGGCCAAAGTAGTAGGCGTTGGGGATCCCCTCACATCCTTGCAAGTGCTTGTAAGTTCTGTATTCGTCCCGAAGCTGGGGCGCCTCTGTTTTTCTAGGCTCGAATTTGATTGCCACGGCGACGCCGTTGATGATGTTGGAGCCCTCAAAGAGCACACCAAACAGGCCTTCTCCGATCTTCTTGCCTATCTTGTAGTGCAAACCGACCACCAGGTTATTACTCGAGTTGACGCTCATATTAGGTTGGGAGGCGGCAGCGGCAGCTAACACAGCGGGGTTTGACATTAGACGCCGTGGGCAGCGGGGTTGTTGCGGTGGTGGTCTCTGTTTGTGTTCAGAGATGTGGTTTTTTCGTTGAGAATGGACGTTGTTTTTCGTACACACCGCCCACGCCAGGGTAGGGAAGAAGAAGCAGAGACTGAGACGGCGACACGGCCCGGGAAGGAGAAAAAATAAGGAAACTGAGAAATAAAAATTACTTCGAATTTCAAACAACATCTATATAATTTTCGCCTCCGCGAGGCATCAACCTCCCGGGATCAAGGCCCTCCATGACCTGTCTGGCCCTATTGGGCGAGCATACTCTCAACCACAATGGGCCAGCTGTGGGTAATGATTTTTCTGAGATAGGCGACTAAAATAACTTCTTCCAGCTATCGCATAGACGACAGAAGCTTTTGTCTATCGCATCCAGGATTTTCCTCGGCACGCTGAGGCCCTGTCTGTTGGTGTCTTTCCTGATTGGTGTGGACAGATCGACGGAGAATTGATAAGAAGATTTGTGTTTGTTGGCCTGAATGGGGAGGGATCGGCAGGCGAGCATCTGCCGAATTTGGGGGCAGGGAAATTTTGGAATTCTGGAGAGGTTGGGGTTGTCTGGGGTATCTCATTGGCTGCAAGCCGCTTAAAGTAGACGGATTTGGGTTTGACGTGATCTCGAGGGGTCCGGGCAGAGTTGGAGAATGGGTTCGGAGGAGGCAAATTTTCGATTTCTGAATAATGGGTACAACGAGTTGGGCGTGGTTGTGGTGATAGTGGGGGTTTAAGTGCTTCTTCACTGGGACAAGCTTGTTGAAAGAGCACCGTTGGAAACGCAACTGGGTGAATTAGACTTTCACAGGAATAGCCAATAATTACTAGGACAAGCTTTGTCAGAAATTTGAAGCAACCGAGGGAGCCGGTTAATGCACAAACGTGGTATACTTCTCCTGGGATATAAGTTTTCTGCTTTAGCGAAGCCAGGTGATGTTGACGATATGAACGTCCGGCCCCAATTTGTAAAATCGATTAGATTTGGTCGTTTATTTGATGCCTCCAACTTTTGACTAATGCTGTGTTCCTCTGTTGTCACGTCTTGTTCAACAAACGTACGCCCTTAGACATGTTACCTACAGCGGTCTTCCTACTCTCCAATACGCTTGTTCGAATGCTGTTTATCAAGCACGCTATATGCTATACATCTCCTTTCTGTGGACCATTCTTCCTGTCTGTCCACTTACAACGTTCCTTTGACCAAGTAGACCGTGTCGCCGTTGGTGAAACTCCCGGCAACCTTCTTGCTTGTCGGTAGCGTCACGGGTGCATCCTCCACAGCCTTAAACAACTGTAGTCTCTCGCTGCTGTCCAGCGTTTTGTTGTTATGGTTCATGATCCCCACACCGTCGGCAATAGAGTCCAAAGCTCTGCCGATGGTCCAGTTCTTCGAAACCCAAACGCCCTTTCTCTCCTTCTCGGGATTGATCTGTTCTATCTCGTCTTCGTTACGGTTCACATAGAGAACCCACACGTACACTCTGTCGGTCTGGGTCACATTAGCAGGACCTTTGGCGACCTTCTTGATGCTGGAAGTCTCGACAACCTTGTTTGTCGGCTTGGACCTGCCAAAAAGCTTCTTCTTTCGGCTGAGTTTCTGAAGATGCAAGAACTTCGTGAGCTTGGTGATGGCCAGACTCTTCTTTTCCACCAACGTGGTTGGTTCGAGTTTCAGCTGTTCGAGTCGCAGCTCAAGCTCCTGCTGTCTCTTTTCCTTATCCGGAAAAAGCGAGGCTGCCGTTGGCCCCGTGTAATTATGTCCGTTTGTGGGTGTACTTGGTCTTCCAACGCAGTTGTGGAGATCTAGTGATCTATGCTGGGAACAGTAGACGTGGTTGCAAAACTCGCAGTGAAACGGGAGGAAGTCGAGCTGCTGGCACTTGTGGCAGTGCTTGCCGAGGTTCATGACCCCCTGGTCCTCCTTGTTGACTTCGACCTGGGTCATGAAAAGGCTGTTCTGGTGAACTTTGGCTGTCATAGCGCGAAATGATGGTCTATGGTGGGGAAACTTTAATATGGATGGGCTGAGTAAAAAAAAAATGAAAAGTGTGTTTTTGTTTGATATCTGGTGGAGTAGAAGGGGATTTTGTGGTATTTATAGTCTTGGTGCCTGGTGGCGGCGGCAAACCTAGAAGCTTCGCCTGCATGACTGGTTGCAAAATCGCTTACTAACGATACGGCTGAGTCAAGATCTAGGGAGCATGAGATACAGGGCATCATTGAAATGACGATTCGTTAGTTATTTGAAAACTGAAGAATGTTTTGTTGTATCGACTTATTTGATTGTTGTTGGTGAGTGGCCGGGTTTACTTGAATACTCGCCATTAGTGTAGCAGCATCAAGTACGGAGCTCAGTCAAGATCCAGAAACAATTGGAACGCCTCAGTGCATGCTCATTACATTTCGAGGATCATAATCTTTTACGTTGTTTTTAGAACTTTTTATTGTTTTCACTTTTTCCACCTCTTCCCAGTCGTCGCATTCACAGTGCAAAATTGCAATGGCTGCGAAACCGTAAACATACACCAATTTGCTTCTTTCATAAATTTAAAAACCAAATAAAGCCCTAAGTTCAAAAGAAATCGCATCAGATCAACAAGAGGAGCTTCGTCTCCACTTCCAAAAACCCCGTCTGTCTTTTACCACCTCCACTTCTTCACCTACTACACAGTGAGCATCGCGATCTCAACTACTCCATCATGTACGATTTAAATGTACCCTGGCCGGTGGGGTACGGGGCCACGCCGCTGGCAGCCGAAATGACGAATTTCTTGAATGTCGTCGCCATGTTGTATTCGCTAGGGTACCGCTACATCGCCGTGAACTTTGTGGTTCCAGAAAACACCAAGCTTCCGTTCAACACCCCAGACAAGCTCAATCCAATTCCCATCGAGACGCTTCGAAAGAGAACACAAAAGTACGAGGGGCTTCGACTTTTCTCCAGAATCACTTTGGTGATAACAGACCCCGCAAAGTGTCAGAGCATCCTGAAGCTCCATGCCTCCAATGCTTTTGACCTCATCGGCGTGCAGCCTACAACAGAAAAAGCGCTTCAGCTTACCACTGCCAACCTCGATATAGACATTGTGTCGTTGCCGATGGGCACACGATTGCCGTTTTTCATCAAACACAAAACCGTGGGCCAGGCGTTGGAAAAGGGCATGAAGTTTGAGATATGCTACCTGGGCCTAATATCTGGACCTGCTCAGTACGAGCTGTCGATGGTGCTTGGAACCACTGGTCATTTAAGCCGTAAAAACTTTATATCCAATTGTTTACAGCTCATTCGGGCCAGCAGAAATAGAGGGCTCTTGTTTTCAAGTGGTGCTCTGGAGCCATTGCATGCGAGAAACCACAGCGACATCTTGGCGTTGATGGAGGCTCTAGGGTTGAAGGTGTCAAGTGGCAAAGAGGGATTTGTGAAGAACCCGGAGTTGGCATTAATGGCAGGAAGACTCAGAATCAAGTCCAACAAACAGACGGTGATGTTGGGGAACCAGGGCGGTAGAGGCGCTGCTGCTATAATTGACGAGATTATTCCCAAAACCGTGGACTCTACGAAAAGGGAGAATGACGATCATACCGCTCCTGCCAAGCGCAGAAAGCAGTGAATAGATTAATGTAAATACAGACCCGGTCTGCGTATGCTAGTGGAAGATCGACAGGCGGACCTTATCGGTCTTCTTGATTGGAGGAGCCTCGGGTTTGGCCTCCTGCTTTGGTTTCCGCTCTGGCGGGATTCGAGGCATTCTAGGGGGCATCTTTTTCTTCGGCACAAAGATACCCGGAGCAGGCCGTTTTCGAGGAGAAACCCGATCCTGTGGAGGCGGCGAGAGCTTTTGAATTTCCAGATTCTTAGGCGAGCCAGCCCGTGGCGCCTCTTGCGGCTGATGAAGCAGCCTCAGACGAGGCAATTGCGGTGGTTTCTGCGGTTTCGGTGCTCGAGGACCCTTGAACTCCGAGTACATATCAAAAGCAGGTCTCTTGTTCGGCCCAAACATCAACTTCCGCTGCTGCATGTCCCGCATGGCCTTGCCCATGATCGTTTTACGGGAAAACTTGGGATCTGTGTTGTAGTTGCGGACCTGGCTCGTACGGTAGTTCCGTCGTATCGGCGTGTTTCTGATGATGCTGGGGATGGGCGTGATGGAGTTTTTCAGCTTTTCCTTCTGGAGCTTCTCGGTCATCTTTCGTAGTCTCTGGGCCAGTGTGGCTCTGAACTGGTCCCTCTCTTCCATGTACCGCTGGTACAAAGCCTTATTGGGCATTTCCGTCTCGCCAACCACCAAGTCCTGCCTGGCGCCTGGCACTGGACGGTCCGGAAAATCCTTTTCTATAAGAAGCCCCCATACTTCGTCAGACTCGGGTGTTATCGTGGGCAGGTTCTCTTCCACTAGGGCTAGTTGCTTCAGGTTCATGCGCTTGAGAACCGGTTTGATCAAGCAGTAAGGTGTTAAGCCGACATCGGCGATTCTGGCTGCCAGCTGAACACACGCCAGAAGCGCTATTGCTTTGAGCAGAGCCACCATGGCGAATGTAGTGGAGAAGAGTCGTTATCGATGCGCACTGTGTAGAGTTGTAGATGAGATGGGTGGGGTGGAGGTGGATGTACACTTTATGTTTTTGGATTTTGAAGAGTTATGGGGGTGGGGTGTTTTGGGTGGAGAGTTAAGAATTTGTTTTATGGGAGTGATTTGGATGGCGGGAGCCAATTGTGGTGAATGGTCAGTACAGCAAGCAAGGCTTCAAGGGAGACATGCAGCCGAGACACTTCTATAAAAAAAGGTCTCGATGTTTTGGGGAAAGGTAGTTGGATGAAAAAGCGAGATTTGCTAACTCAGCGGAGGAGTTTGGATGTGAAGTTCACCTGTTGTGGTGGTATTCTTTGGTTTCGCAGCCAAAGGTGGAATGAGCTATGGTGAAGACCTGATGACAAGAAAGGGCTGCCCCGAGACAAAATGCGTTTTCGAAAA